AATCAACGGGTCCCGGCCAGTGATTACCCGCCGGCACCCAGTGATTATCGAGCATCTCTGACGGGGATGAGGGCTGCTTTGTTTACTAACAGTTCTCCTCCCTGTCGGCTCAGGCACACTGCTCTGGATGGCTGTGCACAGCACAGCCATCCAGAGCAGTGTCCTTACACTGAAGCACCAGCACACCGCCCCCCATTAAAACACTCCCAGCACACAGTTAACCCTTTGATCACCCCTCATGTTAACCCTTTCCTGCCCAGTGCATTAGTACAGTGTCAGTGCTTTTGTTAGCACTGATCACTGTATTGGTGTCACTGGGGATGTCAGTGACACCAAGTTAGTTCCCCCCAGTGTCAGATTTCCTGCTGCAGTCCCACTATAAGTCACTGATTGCTGCCATTATTAGAAATAATAAATAAATAATTCCAGTATTTATACTGCCATTTGTAAACGCTATAACTTTCACTAAACCAATTCATTTACACGTATTGGGATTTTTTTTAAAGCAAAAGATGTAGCAGAATACATTTTGGCCTAAATTTATGATGAAATTTGATTTTTTTTAAATATTTTTACTGGACATGTTTAATAGCAAAAATAGTATTTTTCTCAAAATTGTTGTTTTTTTTTTTAGAACGCAAAAAATAAAAAACACACACAGGTGATCAAATATCACCAAAAAAAAGCTCAATTCATGAGAAAAAAAAAAAGGACGTAAATTACATTTGGGTGCAGTGTTGCATGACCGCGCGATTGTCAGTTAAAGTATCGCAGCGCTTCCTCCTTACCTTCAAAACCAGTATAGACACCCAAACTTAAGAGAGAAATTTCAAACGTTTAATCAGGTGGTACAGAAGTCCAGCTCTGCTGTATAAAATTATACCATCAATCCCTGACCTCTCCACCATCTGTGGTGGACCTGTTCTCACATCAGACTCTTCTGCAGCTCCATTTTCAAGCTTTGTCATCTCATCACAGGTAAAACCTGTCCTGAAACTCTTGAGGTTGCCCTTCTCTCCTTCATACCAGGGTCCATTGCTAAAACTAAAAAGGAAATATTCTGTTGTCACCTGCCTGAGCACTAATTCCCAGGCATTGGAAGATGACCATACCTCCCACTGTTAGAGAGTGAGTGGCGGAGGTAAACATTTCATGAGGTTGGAGGGGTTTGCTTCCTGCCTCCATGAAATTCCTGGAACTATGGTACACCTGGATCGATTTCTCCACTTCTCTTATATTGCAGCCCTTCTTGTGATTGTGATTACATTTCCTTGATGGGATTGATCAACCCACCACCCGGGCACCCTGTCCCCACCCCCATCCTTCCCCTGTATCTCCTCTTTTCTCCCTTTTTCTTCATTCCTACTCTATTTTCTGCATGGCTTCCTAACTCAGCCCTTTCATCCTATCTCCAGTGCATGCTAAGGCAATCAATCAGTACAGACACTTATCTTGCCATAGTCTTTAAGCCTGCATCCTGAAGGAGCACTATACTCATATAGCATAGTTTGCTGGGTCTGTGGCCCATGTGTAGCATCCTGGACCCCAAACAACAGGACTTTCTGGGTACTTGAGACATTATTTTCAGTTTGCTGACATGACCGATTCGTGTTCCTCTTCGTGTTTTTTTTTCTCTTGTGTATAGATGTTGGTCTTATAAAACTCAATAAAATTGGTTTCTTTCCAAAAATAAATAAATATTTTTGGAAAGAAAAACTTGGTTTTCAGGCTACAAGTTTTCTATTGGTTCACTTTAAATGTACGAAACCCCTAACTTTCTCATCATTTTTGCAGCCAAGTACTGTCGATATCCTGCAGACTGATGGCATTTCCTGTCTACATGCACTCCAGCGATGGCTGCACAACGTTTTTCAAGACAGGTTTCCTCATGAAGACAGCAGTGGAACAGGTCTTCTTGATGTGTGTTCTAAAGCTGCTTGTAGTCCCCAACACAAGCCATTCTAACAAGATGACAAAGCAGCAGATCACGTTGAAGACATGGACAAAGAGTTGTCACCCTACAACAGGAAGTGCCTGAACAAGGACCTTCATCGACTTTCGGGGGGTCATCTTTTTTTTCTTTTAAATAAAAGCTAAAGTTTAGGAAATAGGAGGGAATTTTTGATTGGATTACATATACTTTAATGTTCCATGAGAGAAAAGCATGTTCTATAGGTTTGTTACCACAAGGTGGACACCAAACATTTTTTTTACATTTTTAGCATCAGCATTATAATAACAATACAAATAATATTTGTTTTTGACCATTATAAGCTTACTTGAAAAATCTCCTTTTATGTTGTGAATGCTGCCTGTGTGCTGCCCATTTCTTTCCACAACTTCCTGGATTCCCTGCATGCTTTGCAGCTTCTCCTCTGCTGTTAAAGTGTTCCTAAACCCCCGACCCTGCATTCACTATATCTGATTTCCCACAGTACAGAGAACATGGAAATGCAATTATTTTACTAAATATAAACTGCTAAATACCTTTTCTCATTATTATAATACAGGATTTATATAGCAGCAACAGTTTGCGCAGAGCTTTACAAAATGAAGGGAGACAATACAGCAACAATACAATTTGGTACAAGAGGAAACAGAGGGCCCTGCTCGTAAGAGCTTACAATCTAGGAGAGAAGTTAGAGCAATCTTGTGACTGCTAGCAGTGTCCAGCACAGCACTGGTTAAAGCTTGTAGGAGGAGTTTTATTTCTGCTCTAGGATGATTCAAAACCCCTGACCTCTGTCTGAACAGTGCTGATTGGCCCTGTGCTGATCGCATGCACGCTCCAAAGGAAAAAAAAACCCTCTCTAGCAATACACACTAAACTGAGCATGTGCAGAATGGCTACGGTTCAGTCTGTCTTATCAGCGTGGACATTTGAACAAGAGGAGGGGCAGAGAAGTCAGGATCTAACAGCCTTTTTACACAATGCAGAGGATTAACCCCTTAGGTTCCACAGGGAGTATAACAAACAAGCTTTACTGCATATACAGACTGATTTTACTGTTGGGGGTTTAGTAATACTATCTTTCAATTTCTAAGGACCATATATCCCATTATACCTTGCTGCCTGCAAACACTAATTTCTGTACTGACTCCGCCTCCTCTCAGCTCCTCTGTTGCTTAGAAGGCCGGCCCCTAATTCTGTGACACACCAGTGCCTTCTAACAAGTTTGAAGACTTCAAGATCATTCTGATTCATAGGCTACAAATAATTGAAAAAACAAACAAACAATGTGAAAACTAATATTTTTACATTTTGACCAAAGATACACATTAAATAGCTATCCCTCTATCCTACAGAATAGCTGGGTTTTTTTTTTTTGGGGGGGGGGGGGGTTAAATGGCCACCATCCTATCTTTGCACTGGCAAAGGGTTAATTACCCTCTTTCCCACTCAGTCACACACAGGGCAGCCACCCTGGAGCAGAGGTGAGTGTGCTACAGACACCTTGTGAGGTCTGCGTTGTGTAAGATGGAGATGTCAGAGTCAGCCTGGAGGGGGGACTGACGACTGTCACTCAGGATAATCTCTCTCTCCAGCTCCCTCACTCCTCGCTGCTTCACATGCCTGCCCTGGGCAAGTATCGATGATCTGCTCTGTCTAAGAAATGTTGGGACTGTCTCCACTCCCGCGCCCAGACCGCGAGCACAGGTGGGAGCGATTTAGGGTGTTCCAGCAAAGTCTAGGACGTTTACGACACTTGCGGTCAAAACTGACTCCTCACCCTCCTGTTGCCAGTGTGAAGCCAAAGCCCCATGCCAAGAGCATGTCGTTTTGCAACCTCCATTCTCGTCTCTCTTTCAAAAACATTGCTATCTAGACACTGCCTTCTTAAAATGGAAGGTATCAACATGTACTGCCTTCCATCACTGGATGTGCTGAGAGATAAAAGGGGAAAAAAGGAATGATTTGCACTCCTAGACAAAAGTTGATGAATAAATCCCAATTATCAGGAAAGGCTCTTTTGGTGGAGAACCATCATTCCTCAGTCTTTCCTGCCACCCAACAATTTCTACAAGGTTGCATGCAGATGTCTTGAATGTAAGAAGAGGAGTTTATGTTAAAAATGATTTTATGTTTTCATAGATCTCTGGGTGGGAAGTAAACTAAACATGATTAATTGCAGCTGTACATGATACATAACACTGGAGATCACAAATGTGATTGGCACCCGTAATTATTATTATACAGGATTTATATAGCGCCAACAGTTTGCTCAGCGCTTTACAATATAACAGGAGACAATACAGCAACAATACAGTTCAATACAAGAGGGTTAGGAGGGCCTGATCCTTGGAGCTTACAATCTAAGAGTAATGCTGTGTCATTAGAATAGGTGCTCTTAGATGTAATCCAGTGGGAGTTTGAACATTTCGCACAATTTTCTGAACCTTTATTTGTGCTGTAGAATGTTTTAGCATTTATTAACGTGCGGTATACTTTTTTCTGCATATTTTCTTTTACCCCTGCATTGACTGTGCTCAAATAATATGTGTTTTGTGTGCTACTATTCCTTGTGTGCTAGCATTCATTCATTGCAGCATCCCAAGTAGAGTCAGGGATTACATTTATGTCCACCAGAGTCAAAGCGGTATTAAGGTGTTACTAAACCCACAACAGTAACATCAGTCTGTATATGCAGTAAAGCATGCTTGTTATACTCACTGTGGAACCTAAGGGGTTAATCCTCTGCATTGTGTAAAAAGGCTGTTAGATCCTGACTTTTCTGCCCCTCCTCTTGTTCAAATGTCCACGCTGATAAGACACACAGAACCCGTAGCCCTTCTGCACATGCTCAGTTTAGTGTGTATTGCTAGAGAGGTTTTTTTCTTGGGAGAGTGCATGTGATCAGCACAGGGCCAATCAGCACTGTCCAGCCAGAGGTCAGGGGTGTTGCATCCTCCTAGAGTAGAAAGAAAACTCCTCCTACAAGCTTTAACCGGTGCTCAGCTGAAGTCACAAGACTGCTCTAACTGCTGATGAGAAAATGTATTTAGCAATTTATATTTACTAAAATAATTGCACTTCCATGTTGTGTGTACTGTGGGAGACCAGATATAGTGAATGCAGGGTCCGGGGTTTAGTAACACTTTAAATCCAAAAGTAATTTCTTCTTTTATACTGCAGCTTATCAATTCTTAGAAGTGTTGGCTGCACTAGTCTTCTCTTATTTTCACCTGGTGATCTAGCCAGTAAGTCTGCCACTGCCTTAGTGATGTCATCCTCAGGGGAAAATGACGGCCCCAAAGTTTGCATACCAGAGTGACCAAGTGTATGGTCAGAAACACAGCTGCTCCAGTTAGATTGTTAGGCTTTTTTTCTTGCTATTTAGGTTGATTGAGGGCTAATTTGCTCTACTGCATTATGGTAATGAACATTACCAGCATTTGTGCAATGTGGGATTATTCATTTTGACACACCTTGTTACCAGACATGTGCTGCAGTACAGTATGCTGCCAGAAATGCTACATACTCATTATTTCAGGTATTTATATAGCACCATCAATTTACGCAGCGCTTTACACATATCTATTGTACATTCACATCAGTCCCTAACCCTCAAGGGGTGTAAAATCTAAGGTCCCTAACTTACATTCATACATACACATACTAGGGCCAATTTAGACAGGATCCAATTAACCTACCAGCATGTCTTTGGAGTGTGGGAGGAAACCGGAGGACCCGGAGGAAACCCACGCAGGCACAGGGAGAACATGCAAACTCCAGGCAGGTGGTGCCGTGGCTAGGATTCGAACCAACGACCCCAGTACTGCCAGGCGGAAGTGCTAACCATTCATAAACCTTTTTTGTTTCATTAGGTAGCCCCTTAATATAGATGGGTTGCCTTAACACAATGCATGTGCTATCGTGTGAATGGGCTCTGAAATACTAATTCCAACTATAAATAAAAGTGAATAACCCTTTCTCTCCCTGCACACGCTGCTTTTTTTTTTTTTTCAAATACCACTCTACCTACCTAAAACCTATCTTCTGTGTTGCCCTCTCCCATTTTTCAAAACAGTGGCATTCTGGCATATGTGAGCCACCATAGCCAGACTGGAAGATGGCTGCATGTTCTGTATTCCTAGAGGGTGTGACCATGACAGTCTATGGCTGAATTCCAGGTTAAGTGGGACTTGGGGTCGTTAAACCCAAAAGTGGGGCAGCAGCTACTGGACTTTGTGGAGTTTCTGTAGGGCACAATGCCAGAAGAATGTGAGTATTGTAGAGAAAGCAACATTTTTTAAACAGGAGTTGGGAAATGTAGAAAAAAATATTTTTTATTTTAGGAAGCTGAAGAAGTTCGGCTTTAAGCACAATATCCCACATAACATAATTTCAAAGCAAATTCAGAAAACAAATCTATGTGCTCAGCGACACAAGCAGTGCTTTCTAACCCTAGGCTCACATATGTGCTGGTGGTGCCGCTGCGGATCCGTACGAAAATCCGTGCAGCCGCACCATCTGTACAGAGAATTGCGGACCCGCGGGCAGGTGCCATTAGTTCTAATGGCATGCTGCCCGCACTGGTAAATGCAACCATATTGGGAACCGAGGTTCCCATGCGGGCTGCGTTTTCCAAAGGAGTGCAGGGATTTCTTTCCCTGCATGTCACAGGCACGGGAGTCCATTCAAATGAATGGGCTCTCGTGCCCAAGCAAATTGCGGCCCGCACGGCCGCATAGGTGTGAACCGGGGGTGAAGAGTGATCTGCAGGGATTCCTTTTCAAAGAGCAGCTGACCGGCAGTGATGAGGAAATATATCCTGACTACATGTTTTAATCCTTAAAATCTGCACCACTGCATTGCGCAAAGCTTTCATTTGAATAGGTTGCATTTGGTAGGCGTTACTTGCAACCAGAGATGACAAGGGGATAATTTTTTGGGGAAAAGAAAGAAAGAACCTTTTACTACCAAAGATGGGCAGAGGTAAGTAAGTGGGACTTTATATGTGCCACCAAGAAATCACACATAGGAAACAAAATATCATTTATTTTAAATTTAATTATCTCTGCATTTAAAATGACAGATAAAAATAAGAGACTAGCATAAAAACAATGGTCTATGGCAGCCTCTCTCAACCAGGGTGCCTTGAGGTTTCTTTTGGTTCCTTTTGCCAAGGCACCCTGGGGTGCCTTGGCAAAATGTCTAAAAATTGCCCAAAACTTGTATACAAGCCAGAGGGTGAAACAAAGTCATAGGTTTTCATTGTGCACCATTACAACCTTCTAACCACCGGTATCCTGACAACCAATGACATCATCAGTTGATAAGGAGGATGCCAGCTGCCTGCACAGAATCCTAATTTGACCCTCTCCTGTCCCTCTCCATCGGCGTTGGGGTCACATTAGCTCAGTGATGGAGAAAAACTGAGGGAGAGGGGGAAAACTGGAATACTAGTGAGTACCAGGGGCGGACTGACCATTTGGAAACTCAGGCACTGCCCGAGGGCCCAGGGTCAGTAGGGGGCCCCGTGAGATGCCCCTGGTACCTTTTTCATAGGCTTTTTTGAGTTTGGGCAAAGACACAGGGGCCCCATGAGTTGTCAGTCCGCCACTGGTCAGTACCAGCGTATTTGCTTTGGAAGGATAAATCACCTCTAATGTTGGGTGTCCTACATGTATGGATGTTGCTGTTAGAATAGTTTTTCACATTTTAGAATGGGGTGCTTCAGGACTGTCCATAAATTTAAAGGGTGCCTTGACTGAAAAAAGGTTGAGAAACACTGATCTATGGTATATAGTCAAAGTCTGGTATATGGCGTTTGGGACTGACGCCTTTCACATTTTTTAGCTATGTTATGTCACAGCATGTGTATAACCCTGGATGCATGCCTTAAATCTTGCGAGGGGGGACGGTGGCAATAGGAGGGGGTAGTAAAAACGCAGCTCCCAACCCAGGGGTGGACTGACTATTCAGAAACTCGGGCACTGCCGGAGGGCCCAGGGTCAGTAAGGGGCCCCATGAGATGCCCCTGATACCTTTCATAGGCTTTTTTGGGTGTGGTTTGAGTGTGGGTGAGGACACAGGGGCCCCATGATCCCCTATTGCCCGGGGGCCCCATGAGTTGTCAGTCCGCCCCTGTCCCAACCATAAGTGTAAACTAGGCCTTAGAGTATCATCTATGTATTTATATTACTGAAGCCAATGGGTCAGCGTAAGAGCCGGCCCACCAGCATTTTCAGAGAAGGTCAGAAATGTTCCTATATTTCCCTTCCATGATGGGTCTACTAACTAGTTGCATATAGTGACTTCAAAACCTCCTTGGTTTAAAACCATAGTCTGTTCTTCCATTGGATTGAAGTTCCTTAACAGTTCGAAATAAAAAGCCGAAGTCAAATGACAACAGGACAAGAACTTTCAGATAAATCTGCTATAAAAAATGGTTCACAAGGGATTTATCTGTGAGAACATAACTGACAATAACTGATGACTCAAAGGTAACAAAGAGGCATTGTTACACAGAACAGCGTAGTGGATACCTGGAAAGGCATCCAAGCAAGTGTAGGGCAGACAGGGATTAATTCAACAAGACAGGAGGAAAGGCGGACTAGATAGACAAGGGGATATTAATCTGCCGTCATAAAACTTGATGTTTCGTGCAAAGCATGAAAAAAGTTGGCAGAGAAATACCTTCACACTAAACTAAATCGCAAGTCAATTTGACCCTATTAGGAGGGGTTACAACCTCCAATCTCCCGCTATCCTGGGAAAATAGATCAGTAATTGCCCCCACACACACACAGACACCACCTTCCCATCACATGCGCAGGTCATTTTGGCAGTGATCACGGCTAGGTTTAATCCGCTGACCTGGAAGTAAAGGGATAAGTATATTGGTGCTAATTACGCATAGAAGTACAAGTCAAAGGCCTGACCACTGGAAGGGATATGTGAAGAGGGGCTTCTTTGTACAAGATTAAAGGGGATGAAATGACAAAAAGCCAACTCACTGACTGAAAACTAAGTTAAGGATTCAAGGAGGGGGAAAGACATGAGAAAAGATTCTTCCTTCTTTAAAGTATATTGAAACCCTGAATGAATGACCTTCAGGTTGCTAAAGCACTATGTATCAAAAACATTTGTTTATTTAAAATATTTGTAAAATCTTTGTTTTCACCTAATTACATCCATTGTTGCATTTCAGTGCTGATGATCTCCTGCAGCCTCTTTGTAGCCACATCAGCAATGGCAGCATGGTATTTCCCAGGATAGGAGATGACAGTGGGCCAAGCTGTATGGCCTAAGGCTGGCCATACATTATACAATTTTCTTGAGAAATTTGCTTTAGATTTACCAAAAACCATATAATAGGAGGTCAAACCTAACAACACTTTCAATTGTATCCAATTAGGCAGGCTCTTGTACTACATAGTTGAAGGTAAATCTAAAGGAAATTGGTCAGAAATTGGACAGAAAATTGTATAGTGTATGGCCAGCCTAATGCAGGCCATAGATGGGTCGAAAATCGGCCGATTTTCGCACCGTTAATGGGTTTAAGTGGTCGGCCGTTTTTCTGGATTTTGGCACATTTTTTTTTTATCGGTAAAGTTGGAAAAAAATCGGCTGATTTTCGCCACAATGATGGGCAAATCGGCCGATCTTTTTACTGATAAAAAAATCTGCGCATGAGCCATGACCTGCAAGAAGAAGAAGGAAGAAGAAAAAGGGGCAGCACAGTGGCTAAATGGTTAGTACTTCCGCCTGGCAGTACTAGGGCCGTCGGTTCGAATCCCAACCACTGCACCACCTGCCTGGAGTTTGCATGTTCTCCCTGTGCCTGCGTGGGTTTCCTCCGGGTACTCCGGTTTCCTCCCACACTCGAAAGACATGCTGGTTGGTGAATTGGCTCCTGTCTAAATTGTCCCTAGTATGTGTATGTATGAATGTAAGTTAGGGACCTTAGATTGTACACCCCTTGAGGGTTAGGGACTGATGTGAATGTACAATATATATGTAAAGCACTCTGTAAATTGATGGCGCTATATAAGTACCTGAAATAAATAAAGAAAAAAGAAAAAGAAGAGGAAAAAGAAGAAGAAGAGGAAAAAGAAGAAGAAGAGGAAAAAGAAGAAGAAGAGGAAAAAGAAGAAGAAGAGGAAAAAGAAGAAGAAGAGGAAAAAGAAGAAGAAGAGGAAAAAGAAGAAGAGGAAAAAGAAGAAGAATTCCAGTCCGCTATTATATTTGACATGAAAAAGTATTGCAGTTGCAACAATGTATCTATTTGTATCCGAATAAAAACATCTGTATCCGAAATGGATACAAATAGATACATTGTTGCAACCGCAATACTTTTTCATGTCAAATATAATAGAGGAGCTCTCTGCAGAGACAGAAGTAATTAAATGCCGGCCGTAGACGGGACGAAAATCGGACGATTTTTTTTACCGTTGGTGGTAACGCCGGCCTATCGAACGACTGATTTTTAAATTTTTTTTTAAAAAACGGCTGGTTGTCAACCCATCTATGGCCTGCATAAGTCTCCTCAGCAGGGAAACAGCAATACATTTTTAAAAACAGTCTAACCACTTTTCTCAAGTTTTTTTCTTTATCTTGGAGGAACCCCTGCAGTTTCAGCAATTCTAGGGAACCCCTGCAAAAAGATATATCTACAGTACTGTATATTAGTGTGATCAGTAAACTGTAGATTTGGGAATAAACAAAGTCTTGTACCTAAGGAATTTGACATCCAGAGTCGATCACTTTATGACACAGTCTTTCTCTACATGACCAAAAATATTTTCAACAATAATCACAAAAATAAATTATTATTAATAATAATAAGTAGAAGAAGAATAGCAGCAGCCAAAAAAGAAATAGACTGTGAAAACACTACAGCAATGGGTGGACTCCACAGCATGCTCTACATGGAATGTAATAGTAGCAGGGACCTTACAGTAGCTGCTACTGTGAGGGCATTTGATGATGACTTATTCCTTCTGTACTGAAATGTATTGTAATTGTATTGTCTCCCGTCATTTTGTAAAGCACTGAGCAAACTGTTGGCGCTATATAAATCCTGTATAATAATAATAATGGCTTTTTGTCCTAGGACCACACAAACTGCAGGCCTAAACCTATTTCCTATGGCATAGCACTGCAATTTATGGATTAAGATTTCAAAAAAAGTTCAATGAATTCCGGGGATCTCACAATTATTAGATATGAAAGTCATTTTTTTAGACCTATTGGGAAACATGTTTTTGCGATCTGAGGGTTCTAAAATGGCTGTGCGCTATAACAGGCTACAAAGCTGTAAAGTTCAGTTCTCTCCTAAAAAGGAATCCATACTGGTCTGTTTACGTGGCATACATGAACTAATACAAATTGCATGTTAATTGTACACCACAGACATCCCTCCAGGACAGGAGAGTAATAGAATGTTCAGTTTAATTGTGTAATGGTTCTCCCCATTAAACTAACAAGACCTCGAACTGACATGTGATTTCTATGACTTAGCGTCACCTAGATAAGGATCTCTCATTCCTCAACACATTTCTATACATATACATTTCTTCATACATTCTGGCCATTCAAGTAAGACATAAAGCATAATTTTTCTCTGTCTGGATGCAGAAGTGTGTGTGGGTTCCAGAAATAGGAATGACCCCGAGGCGTTAGTAAGCCCAGCGATCGCTAACTCTTTTATCCTATTTACAATACACAATCACTTTTAAAACATTAAGTCCCCCTGCATCCGCCCCAGGGCTGTTGTGACTACATGAACACCCTCTATCCCTCCTCCACTCAGCATCGGTGTCCACATTCGTACCCGCCGGCTCAGTCCGTGACATGTTACAATTCCCATCCCTGTGACACACCTGCCCAGAAATCCACAGCCTCTGGCATGGCGGCTGTGATCAGGGAAAAGGGGAGAGTGACAAGTTCTGATGTCTCTTGGGGGAGTGATAAGATGCTGATCTTCCTTGAGTGGAGGGATGGAGGTTGCAACATGCTCAGATCTATCTGGGAGGGTTGACAAGAGCTCATCCATGTTTGAAAGAGATGGAGAACTCAAGATCCACTAAGAAGGGGCAAGAATAGCTTAATGTTATCACCAATTATAAAATAAATAAAATGTCTATTATTTAAAGTGTTACTAACCCACAACAGTAAAATCAGTATGTATATGCAGTAAAGCATGCTTGTTATACTCACTGTAGAACCTAAGGGGTTAATCCTCTGCATTGTGTAAAAAGGTAGTTTGTGCCTTTCTTCTCTGTTCCTCCCCTTTTTCATGCGACCACCTCTTATCTCCTGATAAGACAGACTGAATCGTAGGCATTTTGCACATGCTCAGTTTGGTGTGTATTACTAGAGAGGTTTTTTGTTTTTTTTTTCTTTGGAGAGTGCATGTGATCAGCACAGGGCCAATCAACCCTAGTCAGACAAAGGTCAGGGGTTTTGCATCCTCCTAAAGCAGAAAGACAACTCCTCCTACAAGCTTTAGCTAGCACTTGGCTGGACACAGATAGAAGCCACAAGACTATTATTTATTTATTTCAGGTACTTATATAGTGCTGTCAATTTACGCAGCTCTTTACATATATATTGTACATTCACATCAAACCTAACCCTCAAGGGGGGTACAATCTAAGGTCCTAACTTACATTCATACATACACATACTAGGGACAATTTAGACAGGAGCCAATTAACCTACCCAGCATGTCTTTGGAGTGTGGGAGGAAACGGGAGTACCCGGAGGAAACCCACGCAGGCACAGGGAGAACAAGCAAACTCCAGGCAGGTGGTGCCGTGGCTGGGATTCGAACCAGTACTGCCAGGCAGAAGTGCTAACCATTTAGCCACTGTGCTGCCCCACAGACTACTCTGACTTCTGATGAGAAGAGGCATTTAGCAGTTTATATTTACTAAAATAATTGCATTTCCATGTTCTGTGTAGTGTGGGAGACCAGATATAGTGGAAGCAGATATATAGTGAATGCAGGGTCCGGGGAGACCAGATATAGTGGAAGCAGGGTCCGGGGAGACCAGATATAGTGGAAGCAGGGTCCGGGGGGACCAGATATAGTGGAAGCAGGGTCCGGGGAGATATAGTGGAAGCAGGGTCCTTGGTTTAGTAACACTTTAACCTCTAAAGGCTTTAATTTCTTATGAATCAAATTGCTCAGCTTTCTGCTATACTTAAAGTGATTGTCATGAGAGATGTACTGTTGGCTGCCATTGCAGGCCACCTCCTCTAAATGCTTGTTTCCTGACTGCGTCTACCTTAGAATGCATGCCAAGCCAAAATTTTCTTTTTCAAGTTTTGGATAGAGTGGGAAAGGGTTAAAACCCCTATTGTGTTTTCACTGCTATCTGTGACTTTATTTAAGAAATTCCCCTCATTTGCTCTTCTGCTGACAATGTTTTACCAAACAGGCAGTTAAGGAAACTCTGCAACAAGGACACAGAAATAGAAATCTGATGGGGTCCTACCTCTTCTCCACTTGAGAAAAAAAATATTTTTTGTCTGTGTTGCTGATGGAAAGTACCCCTCATATCATGACTGGTACATCTTCAGAACAGGAAGTGTGGGGAAATTTCCCTAACAGAGCCTCTGAGAACAGGAAAAACCTGACAGGAGAACATTATTTGTTTGGCATACACGAAGTCAAATCTAGAAGAAGCATGCTGTGAATTCTGAAGTGTCAGAATTCCTGATTTCTACAGTTGTTCCTGTCAGAGTCTTTGAAAGCTATAAAAGTCAAAGCATCACAGCCAAGGAACTAGTATTCTCAAAGGGAGAGTTCAGTATTGGCAGCTTGAATTGTCTTCTCATGACACATTCCCTTAAACTGCTTACCAATCACCCACTGTAACATCCTCACAACAAGTCCCCCCATGGCGGGAAGGCAATTAAAGAGAAGTTTTGTATTAAAAAAAAACCAAAACATTTACATTCACATCTGGGGATTTAGCATCGATCTAATAATCCGATGTCAGCTGAATACGGGTCACAGGAGTGCAGAATGAAATGCACTCCTAATTCCCAGGTGAAGTAAGGCTAAAAGAGCTTTGGGCTCTAGTTCTCCTTTAAAGTCCTACATTTACAGCTACAGCACCCTCTGGAGATCACATTTGTCAGAACATTTCCAAGTTCGGATGAAAAGTATATTTTCTGAGTCCCATTCCCCAGCAGCAGCAAACTGATGTTATGACTTGAGGCTTAGCAAACTGCTGGTCTGCATCCACGGGAACACAAAACTAAAAGGTCCCACTTTTTAGCCTATGGTTAGCATTGGTTCCCATTTCCCATGGACAGTCCCTGTTTTGAGGGATATGTCCCCAGTAAAACAAGTGTCCCCGGCTGCCTTGGGGTGTCACTAGTGCCAGTAACCCACATCTCAAACGGAGTGCCTCCGATTCCGACACTGTTGCTGCCGCCCCCAGGCAGAAGGGACACCATGGGTGTGAGCGAACAGGGCCGCCATCGGGTGGGGGGGGGGGGGGGGGGGGGGTTAAAAGCAGCCGAGCTGACACACAAGTACGGGTCAGGGGACCAACTCCAGAGGAGGGTGGAGTCATGGGCGGATCCCCAGTGTGCACAGGGAGCGGTTGAAGGCCAGGGCCTGCTGTCAGTCAGTGTGTGCCGGGCTGTGCAGGATGGGTGAGGCCTGGAGGTGTCATCATGGGGCCTGTGGAGGAGGAAGCAGAAGAAGACAAGGTCCTGTCCTCCTTCCCCCCACCTGTACCGCTGCTCCCCTCCTGTCCCGTGCCCCTCCCCGTCACACTGCCTCTCTCCTGTCCTGTCGGTGTGGATCTTAAACAGGAACTGGTAGAACAAATTTAGATGGGGGGGCCCCCTGCAATTTTAGACTTGCCTAGGGTAGCACAAAACCAAAATACACCACTGGGTCTGTACTCTGGGGGGAATGGTCAGTATTGGGGAAATAGGGGGGTCTGTACTGAATAGGATTTTGGTGAGAGAGATCTGTACTGGGGGGAGGGGTGGTTAAAAGCAGGAGGGGGTATTTTTTGGTTCTATTGTGTATTCTGGCATTTACTTTACCTGACCCTTACATTCTGCACTAGACCCTTCTGACCCCTGCACTCTGTATATTACACACTCCCGATACCCTGCACTCTGTATATTACACACACCAGACCCCTGCACTCTGTATATTACACACACCAGACCCCTGCAGTCTGTATATCACACACACCAGACCCCTGCAGTCTGTATATTACACACACCAGACCCCTGCACTCTGTATATCACACACACCAGACCCCTGCAGTCTGTATATTACACACACCAGACCCCTGCAGTCTGTATATTACACACACACCAGACCCCTGCACTCTGTATATTACACACACCAGACCCCTGCACACACACACCAGACCCCGGCACTCTGTATATTACACACACACAGACCCCTGCACTCTGTATATTACACACACACACCAGACCCCTGCAGTCTGTATATTACACACACACACCAGACCCCTGCAGTCTGTATATTACACACACACAGACCCCTGCAGTCTGTATATTACACACACCAGACCCCTGCAGTCTGTATATTACACACACACCAGACCCCTGCACTCTGTATATTACACACACCAGACCCCTGCACTCTGTATATTACACACACCAGACCCCTGCACTCTGTATATTACACACACCACCCCTGCAGACCCACACCAGCACCCTGCACTCTGTATATTACACACACCAGACCCCTGCACTCTGTATATTACACACACCAGACCCCTGCACTCTGTATATTACACACACACAGACCCCTGCACTCTGTATATTACACACACCAGACCCCTGCACTCTGTATATTACACACACCAGACCCCTGCACTCTGTATATTACACACACCAGACCCCTGCACTCTGTATATTACACACACCAGACCCCTGCACTCTGTATATTACACACACCAGACCCCTGCACTCTGTATATTACACACACCAGACCCCTGCACTCTGTATATTACACACACCCAGACCCCTGCACTCTGTATATTACACACACACCCCTGCACCACACAGACCCCTGCACTCTGTATATTACACACACACCAGACCCCTGCACTCTGTATATTACACACACACCAGACCCCTGCACTCTGTATCTTACACACACCAGACCCCTGCACTCTGTATATTACACACACCAGACCCCTGCACTCTGTATATTACACACCCCTGCCCCTGCACTCTGTATATCACACACACCAGACCCCTGCAGTCTGTATATTACACACACAGACCAGACCCCGCACTCTGTATATTACACACACACCCCTGCAGACCCAGACCCCTGCAGTCTGTATATCACACACACCAGACCCCTGCAGTCTGTATATTACACACACCAGACCCCTGCACTCTGTATATTACACACACACCAGACCCCTGCACTCTGTATATTACACACACCAGACCCCTGCACTCTGTATATTACACACACCAGACCCCTGCAGTCTGTATATTACACACACCAGACCCCTGCACTCTGTATATTACACACACCAGACCCCTGCACTCTGTATATTACACACACACCAGACCCCTGCACTCTGTATATTACACACACCAGACCCCTGCACTCTGTATATTACACACACCAGACCCCTGCACTCTGTATATTACACACACCAGACCCCTGCACTCTGTATATTACACACACCAGACCCCTGCACTCTGTATATTACACACACCAGACACACACACCAGACCCCTGCAGTCTGTATATTACACACACCAGACCCCTGCACTCTGTATATTACACACACCAGACCCCTGCACTCTGTATATTACACACACCAGACCCCTGCACTCTGTATATTACACACACCAGACCCCTGCAGTCTGTATATTACACACCAGACCCCTGCACTCTGTATATTACACACACCAGACCCCTGCACTCTGTATATTACACACACCAGACCCCTGCAGTCTGTATATCACACACACCAGACCCCTGCACTCTGTATATTACACACACCAGACCCCTGCAGTCTGTGCATTTTATACAGTACTCTTGACCAATAGAGTAGGCTCAGGTTTTATTTTTAACCATACCCCTTTAACACCCTCCTACTGTTACCGCAGTTTGGCCACACCCAGAATGTGTTGCGTTGTGCGTAGTGTGCTGCAATGTTTTTCTTCTCATAATGCCCAAGACATTTTGTGTTTATACCTTCACTGTGTGCCTCTTGTTCCAAAGCATAAACAAAATGTGGTTGTGGCTACATTTGGGGCACATGGATTTGTGAGTGTGGTTAAATGCCGGCGTGGTCAGAATGCTGTCCCCAGATTTCATTTTGAAAGTCTGGTAACCTTAGCCTAAGGGGGTGGCTGAAAGTTTATTAGTTATTGACCGCATGCACTCAAAGTACTCGCAGACATAAGATGGCGACTGGAGGAAACAAATGCTGCAAGACAGTTCTATAGAACAATCATAGTATAAAAAGATGAACAATAAAAAACGCATTCATGTAGGCAGTCCAGCACTGATCTTTTTTTTTTTCTTTCGCTGTCCTAGGCTCCGTTAGAGAGATTTCCCTTCACTTGCTGTCATAGTGAAAACATAAGAAGTGAGGGCTTTTTTTTTGTTATAGAATAGAGTACGGAAAGTCTACAGCCTCCGTTGGCTTTTTCTGCTATCAGTGTCCTTGTTGCAGATTTTCACCTGGGCTCTTTCAGACAGGCAGCTGCCCCCTAGCCGCTCACCTGAACTGTCACAATACAGCCAGACAGGACTGTACTCATGCCTTGGCAGCGATGATTTGCAGCAGTGGCATTTTTAGCTCGGAGTGCAGAGTTTCACACCGCTTTTCACACTCGCCTATTGAGTCCAGTGGGGCTGCGTTCCAACTGTGTACAATGCACGAGATGTTGGAGATATAGTGCGGCATTAGAGCATTAAATCAAGTGGTGAGGAGATGATATAATAGCTCCCCACTAGCTGTCAAATGCTATCTGAAAAGCTACCTGAACAGAGAACACTGTACTGTTCTTCAGAGGGCAAAAATGTGAAAGAGCCCTTACTTGCTGGCCTGGTGAAAAGGGAATGACAAAGGGAAACCATGTTCAGGGGC